ATGAGCAGTATAAACAAAGACTAAAAAGCCCCTTTCCCACTGATGTCCAGGTGTTATTTTTCACTCTTAGAACCATTCCATGGCCACTCTGGGACACAGTGCTTTAAAAAATGGTCAGTGGTTAGAAACAAAGCCCCAGACCACTATGTCTCATAGCTCCAGAAGGACAATTCACACTGCATCCTGGAATTACGTGTTGTGACCACCTTAACTGAAAGCCTCATACGTTTCCTGAGATACACACACACACTTACACAAACCTCAGTTTCTAATAAACAGCCCAGACCTTTCCTGCACCATCTCAAGATTATAAAATAGAACTTTTCAAAGTCCAACTATATCGAGCACTAGCTAAAATGCAGTTAATTACAGTGCACATTGTATAATTATGCAAAATACCCCCTCAAAACTATCTTAATTATGGACTAATTCCAGATTTCTCTCTGTCAACAAAGTCGTACAGTACAGGCTTGTATTTGTGGTTGTTTTTATATCTTAGCTTTCAGATGTCCTTGTATTAGGACACAGTAATAGACAATATAGGTATAATGAAGACTGCAGACCTCTGCAGCTGAGACCTGCCTTCCTCAAAGCTCACAAAGTTCTTTATATCATGATGGGTACTGGGGAACTGATGATTATCTTTCTAACCTATTGGTGTTCATCAGTTAAGTAAGAGTTTCAAAACACAGACCTTGAAGGAACGATCTGAGTGGAATTGAGTGCTGATAAGAGGAGACCCAAAACTTTTCCATTGGAATTTGTCCAAATAATGCCCATATTCTTCTCCTTTCTCTGCTGTGTTAAAGTGTGGCCCTTGTATTTTCTCTAGTTCTTTAGCCTTTACAAAGCAATTTTTCATTATCCATTTTCTTATTTGATTTCTGCAACAAAACTATGAGATATGTCTCATGTTAACACTCAGTTTTACAGATGAGGAAGCTAAAGCTTGTTTAAGGTGCTGAGATCACAATATGGTGGCACTCTGGAAGACCAGTCGAGATATTTTGCTTCTGAATTCCTTACGTTGTCACTCTTCCCGACAGTTTGTAATACCAGCCTCCTCATGTTTTATCCAGTACATTTCAACTATTCCATACCACCTATCAATACAAGCAGAAACCTTTATATAACATTAACTTGCGCTAAGCCCGGTTTTAAGATTTCTATATACATTACCTGATTTAATCTTCTGAACATCCTATGGAGACACTGAAACACTAATTCACTATGTGACCTTGAAGAAATCACTCATCGTCTTTGAACCTCAGTCTTCTCCTATGTATATTGAGTAGCTTGAGTTAGAGCACAGACGGCAAGCAGATTTGAACCAAGATTCCAGCTCTGACCGATGGGTAATAGCTGCCAGAAGAATTGTACTGAAAAGTACCGAGGCCAGGTTGAGGCCCAGTGGTAATGTGGGCAGTGATCAATCTGTGGTGTCCACCAAGGGCATGGAATGGGGGAGTGACACCACGTGCCACATACTCGCTGTCTACAAACCCCATGAGCTCCAAGCCCTTCTTAGAGCTAACATTCTGTGCCTCTAAGAACCTAATTTCTTCTTAAAAATCATCCAATGCAGGCACTAAACCCTACATTTAGGACATTAAATGTACTGCCATTGGGCTTCCCTTCCCTCCTCTGTCTTTTCTAGTTTCCAAAAATTCCTAAAGAACACCAAGTTGCTTTTCTCTATCATCTGGACATAGGAGGGTCTTCCTCTGAATCCCTCCTATTGTGACTTGCTTCCAGTTCAGACACAGAGGGTCCGGTGGAGACTGTTGGCAGACGCCTCCTCTAATTCTCCCACAGCTGCCGCTGTCTGCACCCAGCACTGCTGCTCTCCCACTTCCAGCCATGCACTTGCCAAAACAAGACCAAGTAATAGTTTGTAACTTTTTGTCAGCTGTTATTTCTAAGTGCCAACACCTCCTGAGCAAAAAATAGAAAAACTACTAAGGATGACTCTTGTATAGAGATGACACAGCACCATTTAAAAAAAAATAAAATAAAACCAGTTGGTGTTTACAAATGGAGCCCCTTCCAGCCACCCAGTGACTCTGCCTTGGGTTCAGCTCCACTCTCTGCCACCCATTCTTTGTTCATTGGTAAGGTCTGCCCCTACATCCCAGCCCCATCAGAAAATTCTCCGTCTCTTGCCAACTCTTCAACAAGGAGTCAAAAAAGATGTGGTTTTAAATCTTGACTCCACTACTTCCTGACTGAGAAAACAAGCCCCAGTAACACCTCTGAGCCTCAGCTCCTTCATCTATAAAGTGGACTCATCAGAGCACCTACCTCAACAGAAATAACTGTGAAAAACAGAAAGTAATGGATGTGAAAGCCCTTTACGGCCGTACAGAATTATCTTTCCTTCATTGCTGTGGCTTTTTTTTCCCCCCTCCTCCTCTTAGTCTCCTTCACATTACCCATAGGGCTTTTCATTCCCAAACATGAAAGGAAAAATGGGTTTAAGGTGCTGAGATCACAGCTACGACATAATCCCATCCACCCCAGCCCGCCTGCGGGTCAGGTACTCCTAATGCAGTACCTGACTGTCACAGGGTCTTTAGAAGTGGGATGGGCCTTGACATAAGGATGCTGCCACTGCGATCTGCCAGTCTTCCTGCTCTGAACAAGAACCAGTGCCCTTTGTAAGTTAGAAAGTAAACCCAAAAGCAACGGATAAACAAAAGAACTACAGAACTCTCCAACAAAGTTAACCAAAGCTATGTTGCTTTGTCCTAGTTTTCTGAATCACAAACAAAACCTACTGTCACCGAATATCTTATTTAAGGTCTGCCTTAGAATATCCCATCAGAATGATTTGTAAGGACATTGGAAAAAGATTCCTATGGGAACATGACGTGTTATATTTATTTAGAGAAAACCACACTTCCCAAAGTGAAAGCATACAGACAGAAACACAAAGGAAAACCTATCTTTGGCCTCATTACTCATCCCATTTCCTACCACTAAAATCAGAATGCAAATTCATTGACATTTTTCTCTATGTTGAGCACTGGGGACGCCATGGTAAATGAAAGCCAGTCCTCGCCTTTATGGAATCCCCAGTCTAGTAGAGAGGCATAAGTATCTACTGATGTTTAAAAGCTTTGTTATCCTGTGCTCAGGATTCTCCTCTCACATATTAGTCAGTCCATAAAGATTTCCCTGTGAAGTTACAAACACTACAGTACTAGTCGGCCATGTTTCTAGCCCTAAAGCTATACTTTGTCCCCAGCCATTTTGACGCTTACCTTCTGAGTTCCTATGACCTCTACCTATCTCAGGCTTTAGATAACTGTGGATCTTAGCACTCAATCACCTTCATTATTTTTTGGCCTAGACTCTACAAATTTCAGCTGTTTAGTTTATTAAAGGGAATCATATTTTCCCAAATTAAAAAAAAAAAAAAACAGTTGTGAATCTGACTCCTCACATACCAAACCCCAGATATAGGAAAAGTCCCTGAACATTCTTGGAGCAGCCATGAGTAGACGTCACTGAGAAGGAACATCAAGGCTCATTCTCATGCCATGATGAAGTAGCCTAGCCTAGCTGTGCCATTCTCAGAGTAAGCCTGCATAAAGGTGAGGAGAGAGGATAAACTCTGCTTAATACTCCACTTGGGGCCATTTCTCACACTTGAAAAAAGTAAGACACTCTCACCCTACCCCATCCCAGCTACCTGGGTCCAGGGAAGACATCTGTACTTCACAGCTTTATCCATAATTTCCCCAAATTAGTTGTCATTATCAAAACTGTCTGTATTATTAACTCCTTTTATGAAATTAACTCGCCTTTCCTGGTGCTGTCTGCTAAAGGAGGAGCACATTGGCAGATGGAATGTGTTTCAAGGGGGATGAGCAGATAAAGCAACCAGTTGTGTTGCCCTTTGGTTTCAGGAAAAACTACCTCCCAAAACACTCCTCTATAGAACAGCATACAGGAAGTCCTTTCCAATATTATTTCCCTACCAAAACACAGTCAGGCCTGGGCCTGATGCAAACAAAAGAGCCACCTGGGTGGCTCAGTTGGTTGAGCGACTGCCTTCGGCTCAGGTCATGATCCTGGAGTCCTGGAATCGAGTCCCACATCGGGCTCTCTGCTCAGCAGGGAGTCTGCTTCTCCCTCTGACCCTCTTCCCTCTTGTGCTCCTATCTCTCATTCTTTCTCTCTCAAATAAATAAATAAATAAAATCTTTAAAAAAAAAAAAAAGAAAAGAGTAGATCCTCTGAGGTCACAGCTGAATCAGGCTAATCTCGTGCCCAGTTCATTAACTTGACTTGAGGCCTCCTGTGAATCAGAAGACTTGTAGTAAATGTCATTGGAGGCACTGACACTTTTGCTACATTGTCTTCCTCAGTTCTCTTTCCAAAGTTGGAAGGCTAGATTTAGTAGCAATTCTGATCAGTGATTTAGGGTCCTCCTCAAATTTTTTATCTTCTTGAACTGACCCAGCATTTTCCTGATGAATTAACAGTAGAATAAAATCTCAAGTGTCCTGTGGTATATGCTGATGAAGTTTTTGTAACGTAAATGAACCCAGCAGACACTTGCTTTTGGACAATGTGCTTCTTTGGGAAATAAAATAGAAGATGAAATAAAAGGTCTAGAAATTCTGAATGATGTGGCAGCAAACTATTGGATGGGCCCTCTCCTTGAACTGAATGGTTTCATTTTAAGTGTAAGTAACAGGGGCTCCACTTCTCAGTGTCAGACAGAAGGCAGTCTCATAGGTCACTGCCCTGATGAATTGCAGGTAGCTGGTCTCTCTCATGACTTAAGTTATAACCATTGAGAACCTGATACTATCCTAGTGCTGGAGTTTTATGAGGATGGAGGGATTTTTGGAAAGATTCAAGGAAAGAGCAAGGAAAATGAACCCTGAACTGTGTCTGCTTCCTGTGTTTCAGAGCAGGGCTTGTAGCTGGGATCTGTGGGATATGACTGGTTGTTAGTTCACTGTAATTTTCTTTTCTTCTCTTCTCAGGAGGGCAAGAAGACTTCATTCTTTCTTATGAGCCTGTCACAAGGCAGGAAAGTAAGTTTCCCAGCACGCTCTGGTTTCTGATTTCCAGGCCATATTGGGTGACACCATTAGAGGAGCCAAAGAGTGAAGGACTAAGGAGGATAAACTCTGCTTAATACTCCATTGTCCCCAGACCAGACCCTGCTCTCTCTTTGGCACAAACAACTTCCCTGCTAAGCATGGGCAGGGGCGGCTCCCAGGAGGATGGGGCAGACCTCCAGATGAGTGGTCCTGAGTGGAAGGAGCTCAGTGGAATCACTACAGAGCCCCACCTACGGGACAAATGGATAAAAATCTCCTGGGAGACTGATGTCAGCTGAGTATTGAGAAAGGCTTTCTATCAGACCTGTCCTAAGATACAAGCCATCCTCTGGGCTGCTCCGTTTCTTTTTCTAGGAGGCATTTATACAGAGGCTAATGGCTATTGACAAGGATATTGCAGAATGATTCAAGCATCAGAGGAGGAGTTATACCAAATGGACTTTAGAGTTCCTTCTACCCTCATGTTACAAAGGAATTGGGAAAACCCCAGCAGAGAATAGAGAGTATTTTGAGCTGAGGAAAAGAAATTATAAAAAAACATAAGGTGTCATTTTACTAACAATTACTTCTTAAAGTCATTATCTAAACAATGGCCAGACAGCTGCTTTGGAATCTTTTTTCTCCCACTCAATTGACTAACTTCCTTAGTTGTTTTGACATTGTGTAGGCATAACCTAAGAGCAAGCAAAACCCCTCCAAACGTTTCTTTTCATTGACAGACACTGCAGTTGCTTTTCCCTATTGGAAAATTCCAGAAAGTAGGCACAGCCAACATACCTAGTGTTAAAACACCAATTTCTCCTGCCAGGCTTTGTGGGCAACTTAGCCAATGAAGTAACGCCCTCAGCGGTTCTGTTTGGTAATTTCGCCTTAAGACTCACCTATGCAGAGCAGTTGTGCAGTCCTGTTCATGTCTTTCCCCTCATTTGCATCTCCCCTTCCCTCTCTGCAGTAAACTATACCCGGCCAGTGATCATCCTGGGCCCCATGAAGGATCGGATAAATGACGACTTGATATCTGAGTTCCCTGACAAATTTGGCTCCTGTGTGCCTCGTAAGTATCGTTTCTCTTTTTGCTGGAAGAAAGGCTCCCCTCCTTTGAGATGATAAAGTGTAATTCTGTTCCTCAGTGGTGTCTTCAGTGATTTGGATACTATCAGTTACCTATTATCTGAACATCTTTTTTTTAATCTGAAAGCATCTTAATTTTCTCTGCTCAACACTTCTCATCTGTGCTGCTGTGTATTGTTCTCTATTTAGTGAGTATAATACGTCCTCCAAACTGACTGTGATCCCGCAGAAGGCAGGATGAATCCTGTCATCCTGTAACTCCCATAGCCTTTAAAATAGCACAGAATTATTGATAGGCATCAGTATGTTCTTATAAACGGATTGAAATGCCACTGAAGCATCTTTTCCCATAGAATAAGAGAGATCAGAGACAAAGCCATGTATTAAAATAATCTCAGGATGACTTAGGGCCACGTGTCAATCCCAAAACAAAACAGCCTTCTCCATGGGTGATAACAGTGCCAGGATATGAGAGGGTGAAGACAAGAAGATATGTAAAATTTTCATCTACCCTCTAGGCCATCCCAGATTGTAATCTGCTTTCTTGTCCTGATGGAGGATCATTGGGTCTCCTGATCCCACTGAGTATAGTCCCTTCAGAGTCTATCTGCTCTGTGTCCCATGCATACCACACCTTCCCATTCACCCCTACTCCCACGGCATCACATAAATGCTTCTGTGTGAGTGTGTGTGTGTGTGTGTGTTTATACAGACCACCCACACACACACAGGGAATTTCAGTTTATTAGATAATTGAACTCTTAAATCTATCCCAACAAATATTTCTTTCTTACTGTACATTTTTGAAGCTTTATGCTTTGAAGTGTCTCTTATATTTCAGCATTGCAGATGTCACCCAGAATACCTAAGAGTAGCAGTCGAGTGTGTGCAAGTACAGAGACAGAGGGGAGCTAGAGTGATTGCTGTATCTCATGAAAGTATTCCCAGCAAGAACTCTGGAAAGAGATCCTGCCAAACAGCCTATCTTGAGAAAGACTCCAGACAGAAATGATCAAGTCAAACCCTACTCCATTCATAGCAGCCTCCAGTGCGTCCCTCCAATTTGGAAAGAAAAAACCCAGACAGTCCTTAATGACCACTCTCACTTTCCCCTCCACCTTGCACGCTTTCTTTTGTTTTAATTAATAGCACTATTTTATGATACTCAATATATGTTCATTGTACAAAACCTGGAAAATGCTAAAAAGAAATTTAAGCGAGGAAATTAAAAATATACAGACTTTCAGAGTATCCAGAGATAACATCATTGTTAATATTTTCATAGAGTTTCACCTATTTCTCCTCTGATTGGATACATATTGGATATATACAATTTTTTTGGCTTAACATTATTAACATTTTATGGAAATATTTTAAATGATTATTACATCATAAGCATTCCTCATTTATGGGTATTTTGGGTTGTCTCTCCTTTTCACTCTTATGAATTATAATTAAAATATAATTATGTGATAATTATTTATAATTTATAAATTAATATAATGAATATCTTTAAGATAAAACTTTATCTGAAGCTTTGAGAATTTTTTAAGATAGATTCCTAGGAAGAAAATATCTGAGTCAAAGATTGGAAATATTTTAACATCTTTTATTTATATTGATAAGATTGTTTTCCCTTCTCTTCTTACTAAGAACTTCAGTCACCTCTAACCATGGTTAGAATTGATGACTTTTAGTCCCACCTAAACTGTGATGATCTCATTTCACATCTTTCAAATCCCTGAATATATTTTTACTGTTTGTCCTTTTTTTTCCTCCTGCTTATGACATATTTTCTTGCTTTTTTGTTTGTCCCATAATCTTTTATTGTGTACTGGACATTGTGACACTATGTTATTGAGAGTCTGGATTTGGTTATCTTTCTTTAGAGAATATTATGTTTTTATTCTGGCTGATAATAATTTACTGGCAAATCAGTTTCTTCAGTTCTGACTTGGTTTTACACTGTGTGAAGGTGGGTCTAGAATAAATCTAGAGTAACCTTCTAAATTGTAGCCTTTCCACTGAGTCAGTTAAGCATCTGACTCCTGAATTTTGGCTCAGGTCATCATCTCAGAGTTGTGAGTTCCAGCCCCACATTGGGCTCCTTGCTGGGCATGGAACCTGCCCCTTCCCCTGCCTCCCTCTCTAAAAAAAAAAAAAAAATTAAGTAATTAATTAAATTAAATAATGTTAAATCATAGCCTTTCCATGTTCTCAACCAAATACCCAGTTCTGACTGAACTCTAGTGTCTCCTAGCACTAAATAACCTCTAGACCCTCCACTTGAAAATGGAAGTGGAATGAATGTAGAGGTCCCCTCGTGTGTTTCTCCAGTCTCAAGGTCACAGCCCTGGGCTGCCTGTCATCTGATGCCTGACAATGGCTGTTCTATACACTTTGTCTAGTTTTGTAGTTGCTTACAGTGGGAGGCTAACAGGTAACAGGACCTGTTACTATGTCATGGTCCTCCATATTACATATTTTTGTATATCTGTGTTGAGGGTGTGGGGAAGAAAATAGGTGTAAAGGCTGTTTATGAATATAAATTACCTTAATTTTATTATTTTTCTTTTATAAAGATACTACGAGGCCAAAGCGTGACTATGAGGTGGATGGCAGAGACTATCACTTTGTCATTTCTAGAGAACAAATGGAGAAAGATATCCAAGAGCACAAGTTTATAGAAGCTGGCCAGTACAATGACAACTTATACGGAACCAGTGTGCAGTCTGTGAGATTCGTAGCAGAAAGGGTATGTCCCCCAATCATCTTATACCTCCCCTAAAGAAGGTTCCAGGTGGCAAACTGCATTTTTGGTCATTACTCTTTCCTGATTGCAGTTGTAAATTTTGATTAAATATTCCTTTTAAGTCCTCTAAGCAGAGAATGACTTTAGAGCAAGGTCATTAATCTTTGTTCTAATCTCAGTAAGGTATGCTGGCTGACTCATGGGGAGGAGGGGGTTATAAACCTAAAGGCAATTAACAGCTTGAAGTTTATGGAGATTGACTTTGTCCTTGACTCACTTATCTTTGGCCCCAGTAAACAACACTGAATTTATTAAGGAAACTTTATTACTCTTGGTTGTTTAAATCAGGGTCCTCAATTCTTTTTGTTTGCAAGAGTTACATTTTATCTCCCTGAAAACCTGGGACACTCATAGTGAAGGGGTAGATAGATGAAGAGGGCTAGGGCCTAGCCTACAGCTGGCAGAAATTCCAATTTAGAAGAGGTGTGAATACTGCCATTTCCTTCCCACTGATAATTTCAAGGACATGGAAAAGAAGAGAATGTTCAAGAGAGAACAGGATAGGAAGGCACTTGAGTGTGGCTCTAAGATCTGCGTATAGAGAGATCCTAATCTCCTGTGAACACGGAGGACCAATTTCATGAGAGAAAAGAAAAGAGTTAAGAACCAATCCCATTTGTTTTTTAATTAATATTTGTTAGGTTGATTTGTTGTGATTTACCATAGCCTTTTGATGTACTGGTAAAAAATAAACAAGAAATTTTAATGTCTGAGAATACAGTAAGCTGCATCTCTTCCTTTCTTTCAAAAGTTAGGTTCTTTGAGCCAAATCACATGTTTCTAATCAGTTTCCTGGATGATTGCATCTATGCTCCTCTTTGAACATGTAAATATAACCTTTGTTAACTTGAAATGTTCTGGCCAGTGAATAATCAAACGGCATTTAAACATTTTGTTTAGCTGTTGCATTTTACAGAGAGCAAACTTGGAATTTATTGCTTAAGTGATATAGGGTTTGAACCATCTTATTATGTTTCTCCTGTAAGAGCCCAAGTATTCACTACAGTCTCTTGTTTTCATGCGGGTATTATAGAAAATTTGTAATCCCCTGTTATTGATTTAGCACTGTTCCTATCTGTACAAAATGCTTTTTCTCTTCTTTTCTAAAGTTCTTCTGGCCTCAGGGTAATGAGGCCATTTCTCTCCGGGAGTTAGAATATGATGTTTGCCAAATGTACCTACTTTTCCTGAAATACTTTATAAAGCAACTCCTTGCTCTGAGCACTCATTGCAGTGGAAGCCCAGTTAAATGAGGTGTGCTATATGTAATAGAGTTTTCATGTAACAAACAAGAAATTTAAAGACATAATATTGAAGGTAACTCTTTTGTGTCTGTCCTTAGCTATACTGGACTGAGCATATCCAGGGCAGGATACATATAAGCACTCAGCAAGTATTTATGGAATTATTCCAAGTTCACATGATTACCATTCCTCCAGACTTAACATTGGTCAGGGTGAGACAATGAGGTAGCTACTTATTCCAGCCAACACTTCTGTCAGTGCTCAAGACTTGGGTTTGAGTTCTTCTAGCACTGAGACTTTGAGCAAGTTACTTATTGTTTCTAAGCCTTAGTCTTATCTTCCGTAAAATGTGGCTGGTAATACCTACCTTGTAGATTTGGAGATTTCTTGTTGACAGTTATCTTCAGAGATGGTTTATGAGCTCCATGAGTGTGGACCCAATCATATTACATAAGGCTACACGTCTTCTTTTGCAAAACATCAGATATTTAAGAAAATTAAGCTGAGGTAACACATGTAAAATCTCTATTGCAGTGGCAGGCACTTAGTAAGGGAGTAATAAAGATGAGTTATCAAAAGCAATCAGTGATGACCCTGAATATCAACTTTTATTTATGCTTTGCAGTGATCCTTTTTCAACCATTAGAAATTCAGTATCCCTTACCGTCCTTGAAAACATACTTACTTTTTGGTTTGTCTGTTTTGGTTGGATTATGATCATTCTTTCTGGATTAACTCCAAATTTTTCTTCTCTTCCTACCAGGGCAAACACTGTATACTTGATGTGTCAGGAAATGCTATCAAGCGGTTACAAGTTGCCCAGCTCTATCCCATTGCCATCTTCATTAAGCCCAAATCTCTGGAACCTCTGATGTAAGTGGAGGGCACGGGAGGCTGTCACCTGCCGCCTGTTCCATGTGACACAGCAAATTGCTGACAGCTCTTGGTCCTAAGTGCTTAGAAGTCAGAAGTGCCATTGTTGATTTTTTAAAGCATTTCCTTTTTGAAAAAAAAAATACATGAAAGTGTTTTTGAACCACTAGAGACATATTGTCAGTAATTCCCTAACATGTCTTCACTAATGTTTCTTGATTTTTATGTTCATTTCACAAGTTTTTGTGTGTGTGTGTGTGTGTGTGTGTGTGTGATTTGTTTTGTTGTTTTGAAGGTAGGTTGGTTTGGTTTGATTTTCAAATGATAGGAAGCAATCATCTTTGCTTATCTCTTTCTCCTGAAAACAATTCCATTAGTAAATCTTTTTAAATGCGTAGGTTTTTATAGAGGGAGCAGACAATATTTTAGACTCTTTCTGTTGACATTTCATTTAGTTCTAGCATAGAATTCTTCTGTTCCTTAATGAAAACCTCTGGTATGTAGACCACTATCCTTAAAAGGGAGTTTTCTTAGTGACACGGCAGTAACACATCTATAGCTTAAACCAACAGCTCCATACCAGTGCACATTTATGAATAAGGCAAAAATGTAAAACTCGGATTTTTTTGTGGTTCTTTTTATTTTTCAGAGGACTGGCAAAATAGCTTCCTTCAAAATCACTAAACAAATTGGGCAAATATTCACAACTAGACCATAAAGTAACATATTTTCAGTGGCAATTTGATAGAAATTGTTGCACTGCTTTCTAGACAATTCCCGTACAAACAAACATGAGGCTGCCATAGTAGCCAAAAGGCAGTGACTTGAAAATCGGTCAGGCTAGATTTGGTTTTTCCCTTTGTCTCTGATCAGTTTTGTCACCTCAGGCAAGTTGCTTGACCTCCTTAAGATTTAGTTCCTCTCCTCTCAACTAGGCACATTAATAATACATACCTCACAGCTGGTATAAAGGTTAAACATGATCATGAATACAAAGCTCCCCATATGGTCTTTAGCATATAGTAAGTACTCAATAAACAGTGGCCACTATAACTGTAAAAAATTTCAAGTTACTTCCCTGTAAAAGGAATAAAACTATTTTATCATCACAAAACACATAAACTACCTTTTCCGTGAGGTCACAAGAGATAATCCAATGTGTCTGTTGGCAAGAGCTTTGCTCAAATGTGCCTCCATTTGGCCCTCGAGATCTTAGAGCGCTTGACAGGGTTCAGAAGTGAGCCACAGAGTACTGGAGAACAGTGCGCATGGAAAAACCAAAGAGAAAGAAATTACTTAATCCCAGAGGTGAAACAATTACTTGCAGAAGGTATCAGCCAACTGTTCCATGTCTTGTCTAGGAGTGAAGAAACAGAGCAAGCTGCAGCAGCTGGAATTTCAACCCAAGAGAATTAAGTTAAATACACAGTCTCTGGGGAAATTGCCAGAGAGGTGCCTTAAAAGCAGAATACGTTCACATAAATAAAAGATGGACAACGGTTCTTACCAAGGTGAAAAAATAAAATCAGGAGGTCACTGACAGCACCTTCTGCCCTGAGAATTTAGGTGTTAAATTATAACGTCAAGAGCTTTGCCCAGAGTTGGCACGTGGAAAAAATGTGTGTTGATGATAAAATACCGGTTCTTGATAGTGTTATCCCTGGTAGCATGCTTGAAATCTCTCCTCATCTAGGATACAGTGTTGGGTAGTGCACAGAGTAAATTAAGCAACCATAAGTTTCATTATGTAAAAGTGATTTATAATCTGTAAAGAGCCTCATAAATATTATTAGCAATGCTAACATGAAAAAGAAGAACAGAAAAATGGCCCTCACCTCCTGGGAACAGCATCTTAAAGGCCTGTTTCAGAAATAGAAGAGTAAGTTTTCACATCATAAATACGCAGGGGGATAAATGATTTCCCAGGGAAGGGAGGCCTGAGGGAGACACAGCAGTTGCCCATGTGCTTCAGTGTGATAGTGGGAGATATTCCCATCTGGTGCTCCATAGGAGAAGTTCTCCTTCCTTCCACAACTACGAGATGACTTATTTAGTTTTGCCTCGGGGCACTGTCACAGCCACTTATCACCAAGGAAAATTAAACATTCCAACAGCTGGATCCCACAACGAGGACTGTGAACCTGACAAAATTTGCTGCAGCCATATTCATGAGTCTCGAGTGCCATGATGGTGACATTCAGACTAATGGGATCTTATTATTAAACGCTGGATGTTTACTTTCCAGTTCCCTCTTTGCCAAGGATTTTACTTCAGGACTAAAGCTGGCATGATCTGCCCACTCCCCGGGGAGGAGTGAATGCTAGGTCAACTGGAACAAAAGCATGGCCACTGTCACATTTGGGCATTGATACAGCATCACACACAGTATTTCTCAAGTGCATCATCCACATCAAACGACAGAGCTTATTAGCACATACATAGCTGACTCTTCAGAGGAGCATAAAATCAAGGCTGTGGAGGAAAGGGGTGTTCTTTTTATAGAGGGCCGCCGCATGACCCCTGTTCCTCACCCCAACCCCATGGCATTGGGAAACTTTCCCGTGTCTCTTTACCTTGCCAACCCCAATCTGCTTTTACCTTCTTGCTCCCGCGGTGGCCCATGTTTTCTTCTGTCTTCAACTGTATCATAATTATGTTGATTTGTCTAGTCCTCCATTCATTCATTCACTTAGTCATTTAACAAAGAAGTCTTGAGCCAGGCTCCATGACACATGCCGATGTACAAACCCTGGTCTCTGCCCTCAGTGAACTCACAGGTTAGGCAAGGAGACAAAGGATATCATAGATATGTTAGAGGATAAAAATGGAAATTCAGTGATGGCTACAGTAAGTGCAAAGGGAATTCAGAGAACACAGGCTAGCATAGAGGAAGTCAAAGAAGATCCAGAGCCACATGATTTCTTGACATCTGGAGCAAGACCCTGTCTTTTTGTGAAAAATATCCCTGGGTTTAGACCAGCATCTTCTGAACCCCAAGGTGACATCCACTCACAACTTCTAGGACCAGTGCTATTTGGTAGGAGAATCGTAGATAGCATCCCTAGGACAAGATGAGTTTATCTCAACATCAAGAATTCAGGAAATTCCTATTTCTTTTTTTCTGTTGCAGCCATCAGATCATGTCCGGAATCATGTTAATGTCTGACTTCAGTTTTTAATTTTTTTTTTCCAAATAAGCCCCTTGGGAAAGTCTTAGTATAATGGAAAATCTGTTTGACTAAAAGTTGGCTTTAAAAGAACCCCAAGGAGACGAACCATGAAAGACTATGGACTCTGAAAAACAAACTGAGGGTTCTAGAGGGGAGGGGGGTGGGGGGATGGGTTAGCCTGGTGATGGGTATTAAAGAGGGCACGTTCTGCATGGAGCACTGGGTGTTATACACAAACAATGAATCATGGAACACTACATCAAAAACTAATCATGTAATGTATGGTGATTAACATAACAATAAAAAAATTTTAAAAAAATTAAAGAACCCCAAAACTTTGAGTTCTGACATCAGATTTACTCTTTTACCTTCTCAAGTCTCTTTATTACTTCAGGCCACAGTGACATGCTCTAAAACCACAGTGGCATGCTTAAAACCAGACCCGTCTCTGGCTTCCTCGGGGGCATGCAAAGGCAGCAATGCTTTCAATATTCTACTTGCCCCTGTGATGCATCCCAGTGGGCCAACCAAAATACCTCTGCCCTTGGCTAGGCTTTTATCAGCCCAGTGCAGCCATGCTTCTATTCATATGATGATCAGAGGCAAGCATTGTCAGTCTTTGATCAATAAAATGTCTTTGATTTAAAAAAACAGGAAGATAATATAATTTTTATTTGAGAAGTACAGTTTGTTTGGTAAGCAAAAAATGTTACCACCTAGAGGACCTGAGAAGATAAAGCTGCCCCTGGTTAGGAATCAGTAGGTTGGGTTATTTCCATTTCCTTCCCGCTCAATTTGTCCTTGAGGTTGGATTTCAGTAATCTTACAATAATTAAGCAGCACTTTTACACACCAAGAGTTGACAGACTAACAGAAAGAAAGGGACACAGAGAGAGTCCCAGGCATAATTCCTTTATAGCCCATTCTCCTAGCAGAACAACAACAAAACCAAGTCAACACTGGAGACTCTTACCGAGATTCTCTATCCTTGTTCTCTATGGAGGTTACTTGCTTATAATCTATTTGAAAATATTTTGGTCCCAGCACGTTTGATTGTTACATTCTCTCTGTGTCCATTTATTCATGCCTCCCTCAGCCAATCCTAATGCCATTTGATTATAAAAGCAGATGAAGTTCAGGGCGCCTGGGTGGCTCAGTCTATTCAGCGTCCGGCTGTTGGTTTCCGCTCAGGTCATGATCTCAGGGTCATGGGATTGCTCCGCACTCAGCGGGGAGTGTGCTGCCCCTCCCCCCACTCGTTTTCTCTCTCTCTCAAATAAATAAATAAATCTTTAAAAAAAAAAAAGCAAACAGATGCAGTTCAGGGCTCTTGTTGCTGTAGACATGCCTCGCCCTTTGCAGAAGTTGAGCAGGGAGAGCCACAGAATGCCCCTTCAGCCTGAAAGATGCACATTCCTGAGGGGCCTGTCACCTTTTCTAGAATTCTCGGGAAGCACTTTCTATTTCCCCACTCCAAACATTTCCTGCTACACACTGAAGATGAACAGCAGCCCGTGGGGAAGATGGGGAGTAGAGAATTCAAAGGTTCGTGGGATGGCAGACCCTGCCAAGAGTCAAGTCTAGTTCTCTCAGATGTGCTGAGGGACAGAATGTGATGATGTCCCCTCCCTCCTCTCCATCTCCTCTCCCTGCCTCTGATCACCCCTAGAAGATTTCATTCGAATCTATGTCCCATGTTTAAGAGAGGTCGAGACAGTCTAGGACAAAGTCCAAGGACGGGTAACCAGGAAGGCTAGGATTTGGAAATCACATCCAATGGGAGAAGAGAGGAAGGAAGTAGGACAGTTTATTCTGAAGGAGTGGTAGCCTCAAGGGACATATGAGCACTTGATTTAAAGACCCCAGTGCCTGTCATGGAGGAAAGAGGTTTAGTCCTATGTGACTACAGAGGATGGAACAGGGGCCAGTAACTGGAAGTCAGAGAGAGACAGATTCTGCATCAGTCCAGTGTGAAACCTAGAGACTGCCCTCTGGGAGGGAGCGCTCTTGGGAGGGTGTCCTTGTTGCTGAAATTCTTCCAGCAAAGAGTCCCAAATAAGGACTAAGAAGCCTCTAGTAAGATTACATTGTGCTTCCTGCAGGATTCATTTTGACACACATTTTAAAGGATTTGGCACATTCCCTGTGTGTTCTAATACCAAACCCTCATTTCCCCAGGGAGATGAATAAGCGTCTAACAGAGGAACAAGCCAAGAAAACCTATGATCGTGCAATTAAGCTAGAACAAGAATTTGGAGAATATTTTACAGGTAAGTTCATTTACCCTTGGACTGTGAGAAAGGATCGACGGTCTGACATTTAGCATTAGAGAGGGCTCCGGGACGGGTATACCTGGGCCCTAAAACCTTCCCACTGAGAAACTCTAATTTCCCTCTGCTTTACCTATCTGATCAAGAACTCTGGGTTCTGTCTTCTCTGGATTCAGCCGCAGCCAGCTCTAGGTTCCCAGTGGCCCTATGCAAAAGCATGAGCCACGGATGGCACTGAGCTATCTCCTGCTATTAAGAAGATTTCAGGCAGGGCGCCTGGGTGGCTCAGTCGGTTAAGTGTCCAACTCTTGATTTCGGCTCAGGTCAAATCTAATGGCCCCGGGATCCGGCTCTGCAGTGGGCATGGAGCCTGCTTGGGAATCTCTCTGCCCCTCCCCCTTCTCTCCCTCTCCAAAAAAAAACGAAGATTTTAGGCATTAAACTATCTCCCTGATATCATCAGAAAACTTGAAAAAGAAACCTTTAGGGCTCAGTTAGGGAACATCCAAAGCAATGCCTCATAAGAAGCAGTCTCAGGGCTCCATTCTCTGCTTCGATGACGGGCAGGTCGGCTTCCTGTTAGCAGCTATTGAACAAGATGCTGAACCACTTCCCTGTGTTTCCATTGATTCCACGTCAAGTCCCAGGGCAAAACTTTGCTTTTCTTTTTAAATATTTCCTTGGAAACATGAAGTCTGGGGAATAGCGGAAGATTTTCTTGCCCCGGGAATCCCGGGTTCTCTGTTCTTACCCACGTTCATGAAACACTGATCAAATCCAAAGAGTAACCAAACTGTGTGGAAATTGCCTTACAACAGATGGTTTAAAAACAAGAAGTTTCCTCCTGAATTTCCTTATGAGTTAGATGCTTTACTGTTTGTCTTACTCAAAATATGAAAATGCCAGTGACTTAGCAGTTTGCAAATATGTTGAACCAAGTAATCTTAAGTAAAATTTCGATCAGTAACAAAGGTATGAGTCGTGTTTTATCCTGAAAGAACATCAACATCAAATCACAGTTATGCACATTTTGACCAGTGGTTCATACTCAGAAATAAAATACAGTAACAATATATTCTCAGGTTTGCTTTTAAGATCTAACTATGTTTCAGTAGCAATTCATTGTCAATCCCTAATGTCCTACAGATAGTACTGACATGTTTTGGAGATCTTTCTGTAAGCTAACTTTAGTTCAAAGGACATTATGAAATATACTTAAATCTGTTTCAGTGACTTGGTGTTTTAGGTAATTCACAGATTAGCTGTTTGTGTATATTTCCTCTTATTTATGTTTCTTATAAGTAGCTGTCATAAAGCATTCCCAATATGAGCGGCTCTGTTATAGCAAAATATCAATTTACCAGATTACTTGGAGAAGGAATGGGGTTTCCTATTAAGGGCTTGGGGAATGAAGGGGTTAACTCAAGTTGCCTCCACAACCTTATTATTTCCTCTGTGTCGAAAATGTCTAAATTTCTGCACCTGCCAAGGTACACACAGTATATAGAATAAAAGGCCAGCTTTCTTTTGATAAGCAAGGAGATCTCAATCTGAAAATTGATCAGTGCCTAGCCCAGTGCCTGGCCCAGAGTAAGCACCCATAAAATTTAAATATATAAATGATTCATTTTCCAGAACCACAGACAGACGTATAGAAGGTAAAAAGACTGGGGTGCATTTGTTACCTGATCCAGGACATGCACTGAAAGCATTTTTTTTTCTTTTAATCACTGACGTGACCTTGCTTAAGTAAATTTCCCACTTTTCTTACTAATGAAAAGTAATATGAAGCTTCCAGATGAGTTCATCTGTCACTGGTTTGAGCTTCTGCTGTGTGACTGAGGGCTGTTCTTTACCAGGCAGGGAACGATTCCTAACTCTGGCGTGTTTACTCTTGTTCTAGCTATTGTCCAAGGAGACACCTTAGAAGATATATATAATCAATGCAAGCTTGTTATTGAAGAGCAATCTGGGCCTTTCATCTGGATTCCCTCAAAGGAAAAGTTATAAATTAGCTACTGCACCTCCGACAATGACAGAAGAGCATTTAGAAGAACAAAATATATATAATATACTACTTGGAGGCTTTTATGTTTTTGTTGCATTTATGTTTTTGCAGTCAATGTGAATTCTTATGAATGTACAACACAAACTGTGTGAAGCCATGAAGGAAACGGAGGGGCCACAGGGTGGGACAGAACAGACACTGCAGTATGCAGGAAGGCTTTGGTTTGCTCAAAGTGCCAGGTGTAAGGATGAACCTCTGATGGGCTTTCTGCCCAAGAGGTGGGCAGCCTCCTCACCCCAGCAAATGTCCAGAGCTGATTTAGCTGCTGAGCTCTCTGTGTCTTTTGCTTTAAAGAAAAGTTGCCAGCACTTGAAATTCACCAACCTTCCCATTACCCACATCTGTAATTGGTACACTTCGAATTTTATAACTATGCACACTCTTTGATTTCTTAACGAGCAAAAGAAAGAAAGAAGGAAAAAGGAAAGGAGTCCCTTTGGAGACGGCATAATATCAGGGAAGGATAAGTGTGTAGTTTCTTTGACTGGCATCTACAAAGACGAGCATTTCATAAAATTCACAAGTGTATGGAGGACTGACCTCCCTGAGAGGAGGGGGTTCCACCTGAGGTTAGCTTTATGATTGTTTATTGTCTATTTTGCCATTTATAAACTGAAAGGAGGCACTAAAGATGAGAATAATTTATACAATAAAAATATATTAAATGTATAGAAACGAATTTCTATAGGTTAAAAAAGTTTTGTGAAATATTTTGTAAAGACTAATTGAAAGACTAAATGTATGCACTATCAGCAGATGATCAAATTCAAGAACTGAAACTTGCACTCTCCCTTTTGTTGCCAATGATCCATTAAGAGCATCTGAGTTCTTTCCAAAGTCTGACAAAGACTTCTCCCTCACTTACCTCCCATGATCTCCCTTCCATATTAGTGACACACTCTCATGGAGAACATCCCTTAATGAGTTGCCCTCATGGGTGTTTTTGGATGACATTTGGTTAATGCATTTTTAAGCTGATGGCTTTCAGAGACAAACTCATGTAAATGATCTAAAGGGAAGTTTTTGCTTTTATCTTATTAACCTGGGCCTGCCATGCCAATAGTTGAATAACTTTGTTTCTAGTTACCTACATGCAGTTCTCAAAGGATCATTTAGTATTTTGGCCAACCATGAGTAATTAGGAGTTTTGTTTTTTGGTTTTTTTGTTTTTGTTTTTTTTTTTGTCTGTTTCACAAGTAACTGAGGGTTTTGTAACAGCCAGAGATGGTCGAGCCATGGAGAGATCTGTCCCAAGAAGCACTATTTCTTTGAGGAAGAGAGAAGTATCTGGTTGGGGGGTTGAGGGGTGCAGACTTTTGTTTCTGTGTACAGGGCAAAGAGAACCACAAGAAAAGACAATTAACAGCTTTGAGCTCAACCAATTGAACTGCCTTTCTTGGGGGCTGCACCTGGACCAAGTTTATTTTTTAGCAATTATAATGATGATTTAAAAAAACCTCCCGAAGCCTATATCCCACTTTAGAGCTGATGATGACATCAGCGTTGCTTGTGCCCACAGTGTGTAGAGAGAGACTTGTTGGTGATCTCAATAACCACTCAACTCTGGGTTCTATGCATGCCCAGACTAAGCCCCATCGCCTTATTTCTGGGGTACATCCAGACCTGGCAGGGATTCTGCCACACTGTGCAGCAAACCAGCATGCAGGCTGGGATGGGAGAGCGAGAGATAGAGCCATCAGCAGTGATGGGGCTTCTTCACAGTAAGAACATCGGAGCTCAGAATGAGGGTCTCTTTCCAAACCCAAGGTTGTTCATCTTACACTAACTACCACTGTCTGCCTCGCTGCAGTCACCAAAACAAACACAGAAATGCAAAATTATGCATCTACCTATAGTCTTGAGGCTACCTTTGCCAACCGAAGGGCTAGCAATGCATTTTCCCTCTGATGAAAGTCACATTTGGGGGGGGGACTTCCTTAGAGTGCTCAAAATGTTTAAAGGTATGTCCATGGCTGCAATTCGCCAGTTTCAGGTCAAGGCCTACTTTCATCAATATTGCTGCCAGAAGTTTTCTGCCACCAGAATGCCATTCCTGATCCCAGCTCTATTTTTAGGCCACCATAATAACTTCTTTGGTTTCTCAACTGAGCATGCAACCATTTATTTAAAGGACTGTCATTAATGAGTAGATGTTTCTGCGGGTCGTGTGATGTGCTTTCCATTTAATATTAAGTATTGCTGTGGCTGAGTACAATCAAATTGAACCACCAACCCTTGGTTTTGTAGTAATATAATTATTTATTTTCCTAGTGTAGATGCTTCCAGATTAGAGTTGGCATTTGCACTGATTTTTTTATGTAGATTTATATAAATATATATACATATATATTTGCTTGAAGAATCACCAAGCAAATTGGTGAGAGGGTCTTTTCCTATAGAATTTACACCTCCATTTGTTGTGTTGTCTTGCGCTTCCCAATGTTGAGGTCTCTATGGCTCCAATGAACTGGTGTATTTTGCAGCAAATCTGATGATTGTACGGATGTGGCAGGAAAGTTACCCAGATTACATCTGGTGCAAATGCACTTGGAGCCTGGGGCCAGACTGGTGCTAACACTGCAAACTTTGTCCGGAGCTCTCTCCAATCTGAAGGCTTGCTGGGGGCGCAACGTCACCTTCACATGCTGGGCCCTTTCGGAAAAGTGCCAGATCGTGTCACTGGTGCTATTTTTCATGCTCTGGTACAATGTGTAGCACCACGGGGGTCTCAGCTTTACCAAACTCAAAATCGCATTTGTCAGCTAATTGCAGGGGCATTTGTATTTTGCTCTCCTCCCACAGGATCTGTTGGCCATTTCTTTGCTGGCCTCTCCCCGCCCCCGCACCCCCCCCCCCACCAGCCCCAAGTTCTTGGCTTGGCGCCATCTGCTCAGTGAGCCCATCTTTACGAAGCTGCACTCAGGTGCCTGTGAGCTGTCTTAGATCCTACTGCCAGCCCTTCCAGACTCTGAGCCAGGGAAAAGCTCTCCACGCCTCTGGCTCTCGCCTCTGGTTTTCCCTCCTTCTTTTCCTCTGCTCTCCCCTTTCCATTTCTATCTCATTCCATCGCTTTCTTTGCGCACCTCTCCTTTTCTCCTACTGGCCTGTCTTCCCCGAGTGCTGCCTTCTTTCTGCAGTCTCTCGTTACTCCCTCCCTTTAACTTCCCTATTTCTCTACTCCCTTTGGGTCTCTCTTCCCCCTGCCTCGTTCCCCTTTCCCCTCCTTTCCTGTCCTTTCTCTCCTCCTCACACATACTGAGCATCTCCTGTCCCATACCCCACTCTGTGATTTTTCTGTCCTATAAGGGCTCATGGCTGATTCGGACAGCAAGTCCATACACTGGACCAATGACACAATTCCTGTGGGTCACCGTTTCACTTACACAGCCCAGAAAGCAAAGCTGAGCATGAGGTCCTGGGCTGGAGCCAGCTCCAGCACACCTCACTGAGCCAGCCTGCACCACTGCCCTGGCAGTGACGATGCACATGCGCTCTGGGCCCCGCAGCACCTGGGTGCCTCTCTGCCTGAAGGCTGGTCCACACTGAGCCCACTCCCAGCACCATCCCGTGGCTCTGAGGACACCTCCTATCTACAAAGGCAGACTCTGGCCCCGAAATCATTCTGACAGCAAACCTCTTTCTTCTCATTGAAGCCATGCCATCGCCTTGGTTTGGAGAGAGACATTTTCTCCCCACTCATAAGCTTCCCCCCCCCACATTTTCATGTGAAGCCCCCTCTGCTTTTCAGCTGGTGATTGCTCTGGTGAGATTGAATGGACTTGCTGATGAAATAACATCTCTTTTTTTCCTGTCTTGGTCCTGCCTAAATTCCTACAAAAGTATTTAAGTCAAGGACTCGGGCTAGTTCCTAAGCTTATCATGGTCATTTGTCACTCCCAGGGGGAAAAGGGGACATTTCTCTGAAAGCATGTGGAGTGACATGCTGATGACTGATTTGCCAGAGATCTCCCTACAGAATTCTGTGGATATGCATTTTACTTCTGTGTATGTATGGTCTATGTGGTATGTATATCATGTATACACATACTACATTGGGTATGAATGAATGTGGATGGAAACCCACACACACACTCCAGTCTGTAAATATCCTTCCTCACTGAAAACTGTGCTTTGGAAATCATTTCTTGTACAGCTGTGCAGTTTCTTGTAGCAGCTGAGGACAAGCTAAGACAGGTGGACGATTTAAACAAAGATCACCTAAAAGGCGGAATACAGAATCTCCCTAGCAACTCACGAGGACAGACAACCAAATGGCAAGGTTGACTCCCAATGAGATGGCAAACTTTTCTTCTCTCCTTTTTGAATTTGTATTTCCTAAGTGTGTCTTAAATTCTGAGTGCACCAGGCTGTACCCGTTAGATCCTTTCAATATGACAGTTTCGTGCTTCTCTCTGACAGGATGTTTCTCCATCGAGCTGTAGTGCAGGAGAGGGAGGGAGGAAACACTCCTTGCCCGGGCTGGAGTTTACAGAGACACTGCACAGCTTACACTCCTGTTAAGTGTAAATATTCGACACTTCCATTCCATTTGTGTAAAAAATAAAGCACACACAATTATAAAATCAAGATGTATATTTCATACTCAGTGTTGTCTGTGCATATTTTATTGCGTTGCTAGTTGTCAGCGGTGGCCCCGTTGTAAAAATACCTGATAGTTTATAAACATGTCATGGTTTTATTATGAGATATAAATATTAAAACATTTTATACTTTATAGCAAATTATTTTCTCCCAAAGCATAATTTGTCTTGCTTCATAAAGAATAGAATCAGCCATTTCTATTTTTATCAAATTTATCTGATTTCAGAGCTAAAGTGTAGTTAGAGGAGGTTTGCTCTGAGGAGCCCAGGCAGCGCTGAGAGGAGCCCAAAGTGGTGCTTTTACATATTTTTAACTATATGGTTACTATCTTGCCGCTTCTCATCAGGATTTGGCCAAGAGTGAACCATGTATTAAAAGATAGGTTTTTTTAAAGACCCTCACATCTATGTGGGAAAAAAAAAATCTATTCCCCGGTTTCAAAACTGTGAAATTCCAGAAGATACTAAGAATTGAGAAAAAAATTTTTTTTTCATATCTAATACTTAAAATGCAAAGAAAGGCGCAAATTGGAGAGGAGATGTCATTATTCACGTACCCTGGGCCACAAAATAGACCAGCTCCAGAGATCTGAACGTGCCAAAAATGTCAGGTTCAGGAACCTGAATCTGCCACATAATATTCTAAATTCTTCCCACGAGGTTAAACATATGCCTTGTCATATTGACATTTAGACAGCGTAGGTCTGACAGCTGGAGGACCAAAACAAATTCCTCCTGTGGGAGGAATGGAATTTCACCATTAAAGCAATCGCTGTGCAGTAGGTTTTGCTTCACAATAAACCATCCCATCATCGGGTCAGTCATTTGGGAAACCAGACTTGTTCATACCATCCTGACCATCACTGGGGGCCCGCAGGAGTCTCCACCAGGTGTCCTGTCTCTGTCCCTGAGCAAAGACAGCATACGAAGGCATTGACTGGGGACACCTGGGTGGCTCAGTGGGTTAAGTGTCTGCCTTCTGCTCAGGTCATGATCTTCCCCAGAGTCGTGGGATGGAGCCCCGCATCAGGCTCCCTGCTCAGCAGGAGCTTCTCCCTTTCCCTTTGGCCACTCCCCTTGCTTGTGCTCTCTCGCTCTCTCTCTCTGTCAAATAAATAAAGTCTTCAGAAATTTTTTAAGAGGGGCGACTGGGTGGCTCAGTCGTTAAGCGTCTTCCTTCAGCTCAGGTTATGATCCCAGGGTCCTGGGATCGAGCCCCACATCAGGCTCCCTGCTCAGCGGGAAGCCTGCTTCTCCCT